CATGTATGCTACGTGCGGACTGAACTCTGTCCATAAAACATATATCTAGTTCACTCAAACCCGTCCATGAAAACGAACCCAAATTCTCACTGAGCGCCCGCCTCATGCCGTCCTACAAAAAACCACTTAATTTTTTCCAGGGTCACACTGCGGGTATCAGAGACATCTTGAGTGAAGTTCTTTTGTCACTGAAAATCATTCCGTTAGAACGCTTGAGATTCAACCCAGTTTACAGGAATCTGGGTGTGATCCCGATAAGTGATCTTCAGTCATCCGACCTCAATAATATTATCATTTCTTTCCTAGAGTGTCCAGTACAAACATTATTTACATCTTTCAGTCTATTCGCCGTCGCACTAAGCACCAGTCGAAGGGCTTTGAGTGTCGTGGATTAAACCGAACTCAGGAGTTCTACAACTTACTGAAACAAAGTTGGTTGTTAGCTTTTCAGCGACTTTCTGAATTTAGTGCATATATTCCCTTAAAGTTAAAATGTTTATTCAAAGTGCACAATATTTGATGAATCGGTATAGACTGGCTCATAAACATTTTGCAAAGATTTCGACCACCGTGATGTGAATATACTCTCTGACAAGGTAACAGACGAGGTAACTTTTAATATTTATCTATCCAATGTCATACACACAGATTACGCTCATGAATGAAAAAGTGCTCACGGTCTGTAAATGTTAGCTCGATGGCTCTGACTTTACATTAAATAGACAAGGGCCCAACTCGCGACTGGCACCAATTTTACGTGTTTCTAGTGTATTCCTGGTATTCCCTGCCAAACTGACCTTGGCTGAAGACCATTCATTCGTCGATCGATCGATCGATTTTTATATCAACACTTCGGGTTCACTGATGCTTTTGTAAATGAACAGGCTGAAAAGCCTGCCTAGATACCAAAGCTCAGATCGTGCTAGGGGTTTTCAGTTCACATCTTTTTTATCCTAAAAAAAGTGCTTTACACAAGTTTAGCCGATTTTAAGTATAAACTGCGTTGTTCTCGTTTTCTGTTGAAGGTAACACCTGAAGTGGTCCCTATTTCGACTGCATCGACAACGAGCCTGAGCCGATCCGATTCCGCTGTGAATGCGCTGGTGTCTGCACTCGGTCTACCGCCTTCTTGTCTGTCAAACAAAGCCAACAGCTATGAGACAACTCCCATATCTAACTTAAGTTCTTATCCCATGTTTATGCCATGGACCCCAACAGTGAACTCCATCACAAAAAATGACACACCAGTTTTTTCCTATTCAACCGTTCCACCCGGACTTTTCCCCTATATATCGCCAGCTGGGTTGGGAACACCCCTTCAGTCCGGATTTTTCGAGAATAAACTAGGTTTTTCGATGCCAAACGTCACAACGAATTACCCAGTGGAAGAACAAACAGAGGCTCTGGCACTTGTTGTGAGAAAATCTTCAAATGATGAATGTGGGTTATTTGATCCTAAGCAGTTTTCAAGTTTATATAATCCGGCTGTGTGCACTGCGACTAATGGCTCACAATCTTCCAATTCGCGTGCAATTATCTATAATGGCTTGGCTTTGTCTCGTCGCAGGCGTACCAAGGTAACAGATACCCGATTGGGCCCTCGAGGTAGCTGTCGCATGAATACGAGTTGTGGTTCACCTCATCACATAAATCAAACATCATGTTTCCCTGAGCACACAACTGCTGGTCTACTGAATACACACGACGATCGGAAACATCCGTTTAGTCATGGAAACATGTTGGGCAACGACAGCTTTTGTCGGGCAATACGACAGACAGTTGCTGAGATCGATCGGAACCCACCGTTGCTCAGTCCTACAGAGGCGCGAATAAATAGCAGTAGCAGTAGCCCGTCACCTAACTCATTCCGGCTTTCCAACGGGGTACGAGAGCCTGGAACGGAATGTGAGCTGCACTGTGGATTATATGACAAACCAAAAATACCACCCTCACTCACACCATCAAACTTTCCCTCATCCTCCGGGCCTATAGTATGCAAAACTACTTTGTCTCCCTTCCCAGTCAGTGCCAGAGTTTTGGAAGGGCAGATAACAAAACGATTCTCACCGAGACAATGCGAATATGAAACATTTGAACAAGTGTTGGCTAAGGCCTTTAAACAGACACCCCAGACGTTCAGACAGCGAACTATGGTCCCTATCATGAACGCGATGAACGACAGTTTGGCAAATGGCAAGCACTTTCCGATTCCTACTGGCGCTCCTTACTTTAACCATCCTCGTGTTCCCGGCGGTCTTTCATTTAGTTCCCAACTACTTCCTACCACGGATGAGTTTCTATGCAACCGTGCATCCTCGAACAGTATGGAACGTGGATCTTTGATCGAAGGATCAACACAACCCCACAACACATTTAGTAAGCAACACAACGATTTGCACAAAAGAAACATAAACAATTCAGTCTTCCTCAGCGAACCCTATTCAAGCGCTGACGATCAAATGGACACTGATGTCACCTCGGGACATCACTGTACAGATGGAAGGAGAATGGTAAGTAACTTGTGTAAGGTGAAGTTTTACCACATCGACTGTTTATGTAGATGTGGAAAGATCCAACACCGGTTTTCTCAGAAAGTTATTTCGTATAAATATTTCCTGCTTGTTGCATCTTGCTCGCATTTTACTCAATGAGTTCACAGAGATCAAGGGACTTGTGAAAGGTTACAGATTACAGGAAGCTAAAGGTATGTGTCGGGTTCTGCGTTCAATGTTTCAAACAGAATAGGCCGCGAACAATATGTTACTGCTGGCAAAATAATGTGTGGAGTTAGATAACGTCAAAAAAAGAAGCAACATATTACATCGCAAAGAACATGATGACAGAATAGTACGATTCTGTTATAGTTTTAAGTAAATTAACCCCACTGGAATAATTCCGATAAAGTGTCTTCTATAGTCTCAGTTTTATTCTCTGAAACATGCACTGGCATTCATCTACTGATGAGGCTGTCGTGGCAGAATTTTCCAGGCTAGACACACTGAAAAAATTTTGACCGTTTACAGACATTAAATTTTGTAGATGAGGCAAGTCACTTCTGGTCTGTATGAAACCAGAATCACGAATGGCACTAAGGTTGCGATGGGCCTTCAGATACTGAGATTAATGAACTTCTGAAAAGTCCCAAGTGATTCATATCCAATTTAAGCAGCACATCTGTAGATTTGACAGAGAAAGAGATTTTTGATTAGATGTGTTGTTAATAAGAGGCACTTGTTGCAACACCGAATATTTGGTTCAACGTGAATTTACAAAAGCTGGCGGAACGAGTTGAATAGATTTTGCATGAAACCGATCGAAGAAAACATTACAGAACTAAAAAACTATCTACAGAAGTTTTTGATATTCAGCTCGTGAGAATTATGTACTGTCAATAAATAAAATACAGCCTTCAAGTGTCAGGTCAGATGTTCCGTTTACACATAGAAGTTAGGTAAAAATTTCAAGCCTTTATGTGAGTCCTTCTTTTCGGAATAATGATTATCACCACAGCAAACAGGAGAAATCTGTCCCTGAAATAGCTGACAAAATGAAGCACTACTGCTTTCTAACTTGTGCGACGAACAGATTAAAAATTGGACGTTTGTGAGTGTATTAGTCTTGTCAGTGTTATTCTAAACGGATTCTATCTCTCCTCTCCGAGAACTAGTATCCAGGATAAGCGACTTCGCATAATATTTTCAAGTGCTACTTTAAAACAGAAATGCAGTAGTAGCTACCGAATAACTGGACAAACCTGTGATGAAAGGTGCCCCAGATAGGTGCGATTCATTCTTCGGTCATGGAAACCTTATGGGCAGTTTTCAGGCCTACGCAGAGAGAGGAGAACCTTATTAACCTGGAAAAACTCGGAACTCTAATGACGGAATTACGTGAATCACTTGAATCAGTAGCCCAACTGTGCCTCGCAATCAACGTGTGTAACAGTTTTGACAAGTAACTTGGTGAATTCGTTAGTTTGAAAGACTTGCTTGTGAAAAATCTGAGCTTCTTTTTACTAACACATGTTTTAAACCGCTTATGAATCTTTACAGAATGTCACTTCTATATGTGTGTTTCGGTGGATTTCACTTACTGAAGTGGAACTAGTGCGTAAGCATGATGAAACGTCAAATTTCTGAGTTCACGACGTGTTCTGCCAGCCCATTCTGTTACTGAATTGAGTCCAACCGAAGTCAAATATACTAGTCGTTTGTAGTGGTCCTGTTGAGGTATAAAATTATTCACTTGGAATTATATTGATTGACTCAGCTACTGAGGTGGGGCTTTCCGTAATTGTAAGCAAAGTTTGGGGTGGGCGACAGAAAGAATTTTGGTGCCATGAAGTGTCTGTTTTGAAAGCAAATTTGGCCGAAACCGCTCGAATAATTTGTGCACATGTCGGTGTCAATCTGTTCGAGAGATTAGTGGGATTTGATCACAAGGCGCAAATCTAGGAGTAGCCGGAGAAGACCGCTGGTTGTCCACTCTGGTTCGCTAGGGGAGACTAAGCAGTCTATCCCTCATCAGGTTGACTGCAGAATTTGTTCGAATGTTGCAGAGACATACACCAAACCGTGTTTAGAGTTCCATTCTAAGTATCTGTTGGAGTGGTTACATAGTAATTTATTTTTGCTCTAGCTGTTCACAGTACAACGTAACATTCTGATAATGGACAAGTGGTTGTTCTGTAAGCAAGTTCCCATATCTGACAGAGCATGACTTGAAATTAAGTTTTTCTTTGTCCTAGACTAACTTTCACGGTAAAGGCTGACGAACACAAAATTGTGCTACTAATAAGTAGCTTGGCAAATTTATGATTTTAGATGAGACTCAACTGTGAAACGTCAGGGATTCGGCTGGATTCGAACCAGCGACAGAAATACTGTTCGAGAAATTTTGCCAGGGCAGTCTATCCCCTGGATCATTTGGTGGATTCCATATGAAACAGTGGAACGGGTGGATAATCGGATCCAAATATAAAGTTTCCGAGCTCTTGGTGTGGCTTCGTAGCTTAGCTGGTAGGGCGCTTGCCGTATTGAGGCACGGTGTTTCTGTCGCTGATTCGAAACCAGCCGAAGCCCTGACTTTTCACAGTTGAGTCTCATCTAAGAACAGAAAACTGACAGCAATCTAAAACGATGTGTATTTTGTTGCCCCCGTAATAAGAAGTGCTTGAGAGTCCAGATCACACTCAAAGGTGAATTTGCTAATGAGACAGCCTGGCAGAGGCCAAAAGCAAATACTTTCTTCCTCAACAAAAATAGCGGGGTTCCTGCGGATGTTACCACATCTCTTTGGAGGGATAATGCATCCGATCCCTAAACTGTCACATTCTTTGGGCAAACATAAGTGTGACGTTAACTGTTGGAAGTAGTGGTCGTGTTGTTCGTAGCTTTGGTTGATAATAGGGTTTAGCTCAGAAGTATACTCTCAAACTTCTAGTTACTGACGATGCCACTCCGTTCGCTGACTAAAAATTACCTGCTCAAATTCTAAGCTCTGCAAACATACGACTACTTAAATAAATATGATACTTTTGGGAATATGCTATTTTTGTTGATGTTTTAAAGACGGTTGATCGGTGGCGCAAGTGTTCTGAAACAGATTTCTGAGTAAAATAATTTTTCGATTTTTATATGATACTGCCATGATAGTGAAACTGTATAAAGTACTAGAATAAGTGGAAACTTTCTACCCTCAGAACAACAAAGCGGTTTGTTTCTATATTCTTTCTCAACGCTCCGGATGCAGTGACCGTTTATTAGTAATGCATTATTGAAGTGCGCTCTCTGGCCAAAGTAGAACTAGCGATCGGTTGACAACACACCAGTTATGTAGTCATAGAAAATGAAACTAGTATTGATTAACCATGGACAAACATTTACTAAGCCTTTAAACATATGGTGAGAATGTGCAAATAAAACTGAACCTTTTCATATGAGATCCAAAAAGGGTAATAGCCTTGGCATGACAACCTACATAAAAATTACCAGAACAAAGTGTCCTCCACATTCAACGCACATCAACTATGTAATCGATAGCACGATGCTAACAAAAGGGCCGGGTGACACAAAATTCTTCATAATAAGCGGAGCATAAGGATGTGAGTAAAGTAGGTTTGGTCGTGTTGAATTTCTTCACTACCGGGCAGACACCGTAACATCTGGCAAGTTTCAGCTCCCGCTTCCATCTACAACGGGTGTTGTTCAGGGTAACCTGTTTATGATATTAGCAAACCACTGTGTAATCAGCTACCGGCCAGTTCAGTTGCTTCAATCTTCGCTGACCCAACGGGGTTTGCAGGTTGCATGCAGCATTTCTTGTTCAGGACAGTATCAAAAACCCGATAACAATGATGAATCAACAAAATATCCTAACACACTTTCTGATGTTTCGCAGGTTTCCTCAATGTGAGCAGTTATGAAAACCGCTGAGAACAGCCTACAGAATTCGTTATTGTAGTTTGCTTATTGTAGATCTGACCGTTTACTTCTCGACAATTTTAACACTACTTGCATTTGTGTGTCTTCCCAAAAAGACTAATATAAAAGAAGCCAAACTCCACAGTATAATTAGTAATCTTTTGTATACTAACGTTCCATCAAACAGAGAAGCTTAGATTGAGCTCATTCTTTATGTTCGTCATCAAGATTAGTCGTCGGCGGGGCTGTTGAATCCACATGGTTATCAGTCGAATTTTTAAAGTAGCGTTTTTGCGGTAGGAGCTGAAATAACAAATGAATTTTATTGAGTTTGACGATTCTCACCGAAGCACGTCGCGTGGGGGAAGCGAGAGCTAACAACTCTACAAGGCGGCAGCAAATTAAAGAAATATATCTAAGGTCCACTTAACAATGTAATTCATTGACACCGTCAATGCGGCAAAGTTTGGTGGCGAAACGAAAGGTTGAATGTTGTTACTGATGGGATACATGGTATGTTATACACAATATGTAGAAGCTAATACCCCGAACACAACACTCTCTTATCCAATCCTGGCAAAATAAACGTTGGAATGCAACTGCGTTCGTTCAAGTATTCCGCTAGTGTTTGTAAGATTATGGAGTATGATCCCCGTCTGTTCCATGGACACAACGCGGGAAATTGTAAAGGCCACTAAACAACGTTTGGGTATTCTTCCATTCAGCCTGCTGCCAAGTGACATTGGAACAGGGCTTTCATTGTTTTACATGGACATCACGCGATGTTCAATATTTGGGGTCCTTCTCGCTAGACAAGGCAAGGCCGTTTTGTTTAGAAGGCAAACGCATCACTGTCATATTCAACCAATATTTCGAGCAACCACAACCAAAATATATGTATGCCTATCTCAAGAACGCAGACTCTTCCCTCAAAATCTCCAAGGGGTAGACATAGATTTCAGCAGACATGCTCACTCTAGGCTAAATTAGTCCGACCCAAAGATCCGAACCATACATTCCACACACTAAAACGCCCAACTTGCAGTTGGCCGACGAAATGTATTGTCCCGTCATATTATGATTTTAGCAGAGGGCCTCTGCAAGTTTCTAACACACGCATGTACAACTTCGTAATGTGGCGTTGGTTACGTTGGTAAATTTATGGGCCGCTTAAGATGACACCGTTTTACTTGGAGTATATTGTTCATTTGCTACATAATCGACTCATCAGTCTTGATTACACTCCGAATGGTTTTGCGAGTTATAGTAGGCAACTTTTCTTCGGAGCTTAATGTGGCATGCACTGCAGGAATTCTTAAGAATTTTTGCCTTTTCTTGATGGACATTTCCATTCCCATGATTGGAAGTGTTCGTTCACGTCGACCAGCGTTCTGACCTCGTGGTTGATTTGGTTAATTCAGGCATAAAGGCGAGTATTGCACACCAAGGGGACAATCAACTTTCTTTTCAAATGATCTTTGCCACCATCCGCGTGAACACAAACGATTGGATATTATCAGTTCACGCACCTTCGAAAGTGGGAACACTTTACGATGAAATACTTTTCATGCTGACAAGTACATCAGATGAGATTGGTTCAAGGGCATTGTAGGGGCATTATTGAAAAATGTAACGTTTGATGAATATGACAGTTAAGTAGGCTAAATTAACTTGCGCAAATATTTATCCACAGTCACTTAACAGTACTGCCCATCTTGTTTGGTTACTTCTGAAGAGAGAGACGCGGAAAGTATGGGTGCCTAAAAAGTGAACTATCTGGACTGAAAGATCTACTGAGTATTGTTTTATAGAAGCGCGTTGTATTGCGTCAAAATTCCATTTCCTCGGCAGACAAATTTTAAGCACACGTAGTGTTGTCTTGTGTGTAAACAAACGGCTGTCGACTGTTGTCCGTTAAAAACACTTAATCACGATTCTGGGTGTCATTAGTAATTTATGAGTGGAAATATCTGCGTGGTTTACAGAAGCCGTTTGTCTTACCGTGTTTACTGAATCTAAATGTGGAACTTCAGCTTCAGTGTAATGTGTCTTGTTATGGATTTCTTCGTGGAATTCGACAGCACTCGTGATGGTGGCTACCGAGGTGGTTGAAACGTAGAGTATTACAACCTGCTCGTAACATTGTGTTATTCCCAATTCATTTATCAGTAACATGTTAAACACAACGCCCAAACTGTTTGACTTCATTCCTACCAAACTTGGTGCGTATATCATAAAACTGATTAAGAATTCGTAAGAACTTTTCAGAATGTGAGTAGCTAAAAATGCTTGATTACATCGGATGGTTTGGAAGTAAAAACTTCCCGTAAGATTGTTTCAATTTCAAAAGGTAAGTAGTAGACAGATTGTAAAGGACAGAGGCAGAGGATAGTTAACGGAATAAGAACCAAATCACTGCCCTTTAAGCATACAACAATCACATTGAAACCTGCTGCAAACGACAGCTGACTAATATTAACGGCAAGAAGTAGGGAGTATGTCAATTCTACACCACTGTTACTGATGATGATAAAATTATTTGAATACTAGGTTTGGTATCACTAGTGTGTGTCAAGTCTTAATTTTAATTCAACTACGGATGACTCATTGACGATAGACTGAAAGGTTGCTCCAGAGTGGGCAACCCCAGAGACTGAAAGAGTGTTCACTTCAAGTTAAATATAAGTTGATGTAGCCTTAGCAAGTTACCCCTGAGACGGTTATTTTAGATAGGCGAAAGTATTTTCCTAAAGGGATGTTGGTGTTAACGGAGGATCCCATGTATTGAAACCAAGTCTCGTCTGATATGCCGGTACTACACTGAGACCTGCAGCCCAAGTGAAGGTAGTGTAACGCTTTTAATTTCGCTGTGCTTAACACAAATCAGTGATCCGGTGGTATAATATGTTTACATCGGTGTAACTTCAGAAATCAATGAAGATAGAAGGTTCAGCGCAAATGAGAATTGTTGATTATGGGGATATCGAATGCAGTGAACACAACAGCCCTGCTCATTCTGATTTTGATTGGATCTGGTAAACTGTTGTCGTTAAGCGTTTGGATATGATCATTTGATTATAAATATTGTGAAGTTATTGGTGCTCTGGTTAATACGTTAGTCTCAAAAGCACGAAGTTCGGGAGTGTGAAATCGATTCCACACGAGGATGTGCAGTACTGATGTACACTCTGATAAAAGCGAAAATCCAGTCTAGTATTTCCTTTCGAATTAAGCTAGCCAAATGGTTTATCTGAATGTGAAGCTTGCGATCACATATGAGTGGCATTCCACTCAACATAGTCTATATCCCCGAACGTTGGGTTCGCCAACTGAAGGTTGATTACACTACTACCGGTTACCTAAATGTCAACATGGAATTTAAAGGGGATTTTTGTGTGTTACTAATTGAGTGGTTACTGGAGGAGGGTGAACAAAGGGGGCTGATGAAAGTAAATCAGGTGGTGTGCTTTTCTAAACGTTTGTAAAAACTCTGAACAAGTCTAACATTTAACAGTGTATGACAAACTTCGTAATTATGATATAGAAAATCACCCACTCCTATGTCTCACTGATTATTTCCCGGATCGCCGCCTTAATTTCTACGTGAACCGGACTTTTCAGGTTGGTGCTGTGAAATCAGAGGTTCGCCATAATGTTTT